GAACGTTACCAGAAGGCAGATGGAGTGGACCACCAGTGCTGCACAGAAGTAGGAGGGAGGCAGAACCCAAGTCCATGTGGTCAAAGCTGGACATAGTGGTACATACCCGAGCTCCTAGAACTTGGGGAATGATGGCAAGAGGATGAGGGGTTCAAAGCCAGTCTCGGCTACTTAAAGAGTCTGAGGCCAATCTGGGCTACATAACACCCTGTTTCAAAAAAACAACTGAAAGAGCCCATGTGTTCAGAATCCTAGAATGCCGTTCCTACTTCATTCCATTAACCAAAGGACATTTCCAGGCTAGCCCAGTTTAGGGCAGGGAAATAACCTGCACTTATTAGGGGAGACAAAAGGGAAACGTTGCAGAGAGGTTTGGGAACAGGTAGTCACAATCCACTGGGAACAATTTTTAAAAGCCCAGCTCAGTGCCTGTGATCCTGCTATCCATTTAAAGAAAGCTTGTGCAATTCTTTCTTGCTTATAACATTTTTTATTCATCATTCTGATGACAAAATAGAACCATATTTCCATGCACATTTAAATAGAAGAGTTAGCCAGGCGGTGGTGGCACACGCCTTTAATCCCAGTCCTCGGGAGGCAGAGTCAGGCAGATCTCTATGAGTTCGAGGCCAGCCTGGGCTACAGAGTGAGTTCCAGGAAAGGCGCAAAGCTACATAGAAACACCCTGTCTCAAAAAACCCAAAATAAGTAGATAGTAGATAGATAGATAGATAGATAGATAGATAGATAGATAGATAGATAGATAGATAAAGAGTTATACTTCTATGGGTGGGTGTAGATTTTTTAGTTTAATATCAAATATTGCTAATGAATGATAGTTGATGATCGAGCTGTCCATCCACAGCTCTGAATGGTAAAGTAGAAGGCCAGGGACTTGGGCTCTGGCTGACTTGGTCACATATCATCCTTGTGACTCTTTCAGCCTTCATACCTTTAAATAGGGATGGTAGTTCCCTTGCAGAGATATTCATAATCCTTGTCAATTCTGTAAATCTACACTGAAAGAGTTTCATTTGAATTTAATTTTTAAATACAGGCACTTCTATCTAAAGATTATATTCTGACTTGAGTGAACAGAAGAAACATGCTTTGAGTTTGAAATTTGGTACCAGCCCCTCATTGGCCCACACAACAATTCAGTCTTATATATTCTGCTGTGAGGTGGCATTTCTAGAACACAGATCTGCTTTCTGAACTGCTTTTTTTGAAACAGGGCTCCTCAAGCCTGAACAGAGCTGGGCTTCCCCGAAGGTGCCTAGTGTACTAAGTGGGCCACAGGCAGCGGAGGATGAGGGCCTCTGTGGACAGATGGTTCCTTTTAGTGAGAAAGTCAGTTCAACTGAATAGGCTTTCTTTTCCCTTAAGCAGTTCCTGCTTCATTATAAATGCCTTAATCATGAAAAAGGATCCTCGAGAAGATCTACAATTAATAATTGTGAAAGGATCACAACAATGGCTACTATTTACTGGGGGTTTAACATGTGCCGGAAACCAAGTTAAGTGCTTTGTGTGTGCTTTCTCATTTACCTCAGAACAATGCTATGAAGTAGATACTATTATTATCCCCATTGTCAAAATCTGACTTGATATACTGCACCCTGACCACCCTGAGAATGTCAATTTTAGAATCTTCCTCTGAACCTCTGAAATCTAGAAGCCCTCCTCATGGATCACTGGGGTTAAGTTTTTAGATTATTGCCTTAAAAACCTAAGGAGGAGATCCTTATTCTAGAAAATAAAATATGTTCTCTGCACTCAAAGGAATATCCCTTTCTGTTTTTATTCTATATTTGTATAGACCTGACCATCCCCAAATCTTGGGCAAATCCAGACATATATCAGGCAGGTAGTATAAAGAGAAGAACAAAAATAAAACAGACATATGAAAACATTTTTTTTTTTTTTGGTTTTTCGAGACAGGGTTTCTCTGTGTAGCTTTGCGCCTTTCCTGGAACTCACTTGGTAGCCCAGGCTGGCCTCGAACTCACAGAGATCCGCCTGGCTCTGCCTCCCGAGTGCTGGGATTAAAGGCGTGCGCCACCACCGCCCGGCGAAAACATTTTTTTAAACATTATTTCAATACAGAACACAAAATCTCAGAAAAACTATTACATTTAGTCATTGTGAACAGTAAGATTTTATTCTCAAGCATATGTCTTGGGATCTGTTGGAGTGGCTCTGCCCTGAGTGAAAGTCAGCTGGGGTGGCTTATTGGGGGGCCAGGCTAAGGGTTACTAGATACTGTGGTGCGTTCTCAGTGCCATGGAGGACGCACAAGAGGCAAGCCCTGCTGTACAAAGGCAAACTCACCAACAGTGCAGCAGACACACAGGCTAAGTATCAGGCTTGAGTTAAGGGGAAGGACACGCCCACCACAAGTGTCCTTGGAGTGAGGTTTAAGCCAGGGTATATAGGTATACCCTTTATACTACTGACAAATAGAAAGTTCAGAGTAATAATTTAATCTACTGTACCTACTTCTATATACATATTTATCAACCTGTCTACCTTACAATTACATATTATATAAGCACCATGGCATATATACTATATATAGTAATATGCATATACATACAAACAAGATAAAGTAAAATGTATAGCTGTGTATAAAAAATATTAAGATGAAAATGAGATGCTATGTGGAAGGAAGGCAATGAGCTAAAATGCTATCTACATAAGCCTGGCATAAATTGGCAAGATTTTAGGGACTGTCATGAGAAAACACAATAATTATTAATATTAAATATTGAAGTATTATAGAGGAGAGAAAGAATGGTTATTTCTATTATTTTGAATTTGTGTGTGTGTGTGTGTGTGTGTGTGTGTGTGTGTGTGTGTGTGTGTGCACGATGAGTGCAGGTACCTGTGGAGAGCAGAGGCATCATATACTCCTGGAGCTGCAGTTACAGGTTGTCGTGAGCTGCCTAATGTGGGCACTGGGAATGGAACTCAGGTCCTCTGCAGAGCAGGTCATGCTCTTAACCACTGAGCCGGCTCTCCAGCCCCAACCCCATTCTTATTCCAGTTCTTTAACTGGTTTTCTAGAAAACTGGTTTAATATGAGAGCTGCTAAACGAGAGAAAAACACAAAACTTTTACTTTCACATTTACTTGGGGATCTTTACAGGAGAGTAAAGTCCAAAGAAATGACCATAGCATGCAGTATTTGTGCCTTTCAGAAAAAAAAAAAATAAACTTGAGAATGGATAACAGGATGTGTGGATATCCTGGCTACCGTAGTAAACTCTAGAGTGTTAATGAGATGTACCAGGCAGAGGTGGGGTGGAGTCTAGGTCATAGTGGAAAGCACGGGTTACTTTTAAAAAGTATTTATTCATTTGTTGCAGCCCATGTTACTAGTCTCTTGTGGTGCAGGCTCTTTTCCAGCTTTGGTACAGAAAAGGTATCCCTGCCAAAAGAATGTATGTGATTTGCTTCATGCAGGAAAACACAGGCCAGTGGCCTTTTCTGAAGCTGCAGTTCCTTGGGGGATTTCAATTTGAAAAAGTCAATCTGCTCCTTTGGGCTATTTGGAGATGGCATGTCTTTAACTCCTTCAGTATCTCAGGGAGAGCGTCAACTGAAATTGGATGGTGTTGAGACACTAGGAACTTGGGGAAGGGGATAGGGACAAGGGGAAACTAAGAGTGAGGTAGAGTGAGTTGAAAAGATGTTAAGAATGTACGTAAGTCTATGTACTTAGGGAGCTTGGAGAAGTCATGGTGGCTTTGGCCTGGAGACGGAACTTGAAAGGATGGCTTGGGAGAGGGGAGGTAGCAAGCATCAATCAGCAAGCACCAGACTGATCTGGTCTTCAAGACAATTGTGCTTTAGGGGTGTATTGAGACAAGGCATTCATTGGCTTTGTTTATTACCATGCACTGGTTTCTAATAGCTTTCAGCTCTTAAATTCTGTAATCTTTTGACTTTACTGTGACTTATAGTTGAGGCCATATTAATAAAATGTTTCCCAAAAGATACTGGTAGAAAGAACAAGTCTCCAATGTCAAGAACCAAACAGACATCTGCCAGATAGGTGTTCTTGGTGGGCATAGTGTTGTTTCTGTTTTCCCTTTAAAAGTTATTTTTCTTCCTTTTTTAAAAAGTTTAAGACTCTATAGACTAGTCATACTTTTTCAGTAACCCCCATCACCCCTTCTTGTCTTAGGTCTACCCACTTGACACTTTCTCATGACATCCAGTCATGAAAGATGCCTGGTATTTCGATGCCTGCTCTCCATCTTAGGGATGAGTAATTAGTGATGGGAAGTGGGAAATCCTCAAAATCAGAAAAAGCCAGAGGTAAATGAAAATTACTTCATCAAGATTAAGTGACACTTGATGGAAATTACCAAGATGAGCTGTGGTACCCAGGAAGCTGGAAAGCAAGATTGTTAAAACGTCTGTTGCTCTTTGACAGCAGGAATAGGTATGGACCAACCCACCAATGGCAGAAACAGTGTCTTTCCTATATTCCGAACACTGTCTTAGAGAGTCACAATGCTATGCTCTACAGGGGTAAACAAAGAATGTTTAAGTTCTTCAATATCAAAAGAAATTAAAAGAGAAAGATCAGCAGGATGGGGAGAAAAAGAACAAGAGGACAAGTTCTGTCACCCTTCTGATGATAGAAGTTTTTGTCTAGAAAATGCAAATGGAACAGATTTTTGTTTTGTTTTGGTTGAGACAGGGTCTTACTATGTAGCTCCAACTGACCTGGAACCCGATTCGTAGACCAGGCTGGCCTCGAATTCACAGAGATCCGCCTGCTTCTATTTCGTCAGTGTTGAGATTAATGGCATGAGCCCACGCGCTCAGCCAGATGATTTTTTTTACACTACCACTTTTCTGGAAGCGATGAGAACGTTTAAAATCTGCAGCAAATGCACTTAAGAGACATGATATATATGTGTTTTTTTTCCATTGACTGCTCTCTAGCCCTCCTGACGTGTTTGCTTTTGTTCACCTGCCTCCCGCAGGAATGACTTGCTGATGGTCTGCCGACAGCTGAATATGGAGGAGTCGGTGGCCGAGATCATGAACCAACTGGGCACCCACGAAAACGGGAAGATTTCCTTTCAGGACTTCACAAGGTGCCACCAGCAGCTTCTTCGAGAAATCAGGAAGGAGGAAGTAGACCTTTCCCTGACGTCAGACAAGTCCAGAAAAAAGAAGCTGAGGGATAGAATCACTTCCTGGCCCACGAGCAGTGACAACAGTCTGGGTAGGTCTAGCCAAGTGTCCGTGTGATCATGCTCCTCTGTCCCTGCTATATCATGTCCAAGTGGCCTCCCCAGTCCCCTACCCCACTCACATGGAACTTCCCTCCTGGCCACAGTTTCCCTACAATGGCCTCAGGCTTCCTGGCTCCCCCCACCCAGTTCAATTCTCACATTTTCCAACTGTCATGATGCTTTGAAGTGGTTCTGGAGAGCCAAGTGTGGTGCCTAAGGTCTGTAATCCCAGCACTTGTGAGGCAGATGCAGGAGGATTGTGAGGTGGAGTCCAGTCTGGGCAATATAGTAAGACCTTGTCTGGGGGCACGGGGGCGGGGGGGGGGGGGGGGGGGGGGGGGCCGCAGAGAACAGGCAGTAAACAAGCCTGGGAAGGACTAATGGCATTAGTAGTCCTAGGAACTGTGGAGGACTCCTTTGCTCAGTGTAAAAGTTGTTTAAGTTCATTTCTTTTTTTTCCTATAGATAATTTTCCTTTTCATGAATGTTATAATTTCTTCTGGGAGAAGACAAGGAATTAAAAAGAAAGTACTTAATGCTTTTAATAATTACTGAACCTGGCTGATAAAATTATAATTTCTTACACATATTTTAGAGTACTCAACTGTATGTATTTTTTAAATGTTTGAAATTTTACACAACTAAAAAGAAAAGAGGCATCTTAAAAAAAATGAATGGAGAGCTGGGCGGTGGTGATGCACACCTTTAATTCCAGTACTTGGGAGGCAGAGCAGATGGATCTCTGTGAGTTTGAAGCCAGCCTGATCTATAGATCCAGTATCAAGACAGCCACAGCTACACAGAGAAACCTCGTCTCAAAACAAACAAACAAATATAGATGAAACAAAGGGACAGAGAAAAACACCTAAACATACATACATACATACATATATACATATACATAGATATATATGTATATGTATATATATATGTATATATATATATATATATGTTTGTTTGTTTGTTTGTTTTAGACCAGGTTGGCCTTGAACTCACAGAGATCTGCCTGAATGCTTCAATTAAAATTGTGCACCACCATGCCTGGCCCTTCAGGAATTTGTTTTTTAACCTAAAAACGGTCAGTCTCCTAGATCTTTTCTCAGTTTCCTGTTTTGATATGTATAATGAGTCACAAGAGAGTGCCCACTGTGTTGCTTGCCCATCATTTGTTTCCATTAACGTGAGTAACTGTGTAGTGCCCTACCACAGAGAGGGATGGGGGAGAGAGATCCAGGTCAACGTTCCTGACGATGCATCCTGGTACTCTGTTTTTGTCAACTTGACCCAAGATCCTTATCTGGGAATAGAAACCTCAACTGAGAAGAATGCCTCCATCCTATTGCCCATGGGCAAGCCTGTGGGGAATTTTCTTGATTACTGATTGACATGGGAGAGTCCAGCTCACTGGGGGCAGCACTGCCCATGGGCAGCTGGTCCTGGACTGCATAAGAAAACAAAATGAGCAAGTCATGGGGAAGCAAGCCAATAAGCAGTGTTCCTCCGCTTCAGTTCCTGCCTCCGGGTTCCTGTCTTGAGTTCCCCCTGTGCTTTTCTTTCATGATGGACTGTATGTAAGCTGTAAGATGAAATAAGACCTCTCCTCCCCAAACTGCTTTTGGTCATGGTCTTTATCACAGCAGCAGAAAACAAACCAGGGCACAGTGAGATCGTTAGAGTGTTATTATTGAGTCACTAATGCAATAAAAATGTCATATTACTACTCGGCCTTACTACCATAATGGATTACACTGTAGCGCCAAAGGCGATTGCAGTTATGTATGGGCTCTCAGCAAAATTTGTGAGAATAGTTTATTTTGAACTTTTTTCTTGACATCAAAGTAATATATATTCATTATAGAAAATGATGGGGAAAGTAGACAGAAGAAAATAAAACCTATCTCAATCTCACCATATAGGAATACTCAACACTGATACACTTGGTATGCTGGCTTCTGAAGTCTTACCTGGTTTCTGTCTCTCTGATCTTTGTTTCTCTCTCTCTCTCTCTCTCTCTCATTGTCCCTTGTAATGTCTTCTTTACTATGTCTCTCTGTGTGTGATTCATTTATTTATTTCACTTATTTTTCTTCCTTCCTCCATTCCTTCCTGCCTCCCATTTATTTGATACTGAGGACTGAACCCCGAGCTTTGGTTTGGTATCTTAAAGTTTTTTCTTTCATTTCATCATACTTTTATATAATTTTTGAAGGCACAATCTGCAATGACATAAAAGATACCAAATAAATATTAAATGAAGGAATGTAATAATTTTATTCTGCCTAGCTTGTTTTTCCTTTTTTTTTCTTCCAGGAACATAGATTTCTTGTATAAATACATAAACACACAATTTGCATGTGTGTGGGGTTGGTGGTTAAGTAAGCCACGAAACATTCCAATAATTGAATGCTATAGAGTCATTAAAACAACAGATACATTTATTTTCAATCTGAATATGGACTGTTAAAAAGCCTTTTGTTCTGTTCTGTTCTGTTTGCTGAGACAGGGTCGGACTGTGTAGCCATGGCTGGCCTGGAACTCACTATGTAGACCAGGCTAGCCTTAAACATTAGTGCTACTCCTGAGAGTGCTGGGGTTATGGGTGTGTGCCACCCCAGGAGACTAACATTTATTCCAATCTGCATGTGGTAGAGGCTTATGCAAATTCTGAAAGGGAAATTTGAAAGAATTGATGGTAATATCACATTGATTTTATCATCTCACTCGATTGACTCAATTAGAGAAAAGGCTGAACAATAGTTTTCATTCAGCCTTTTGATATAAATTTATATCCTTGAAAGAGAAGAGGTAATGGAGAAGAGATGAATCGTAACACATGTCATGAGTTGAGAAAGAGCCCACAGCTGTGAACCCCCCTACCAGTTTATTCTGGTCGTTGATGCTTTAGAGTCCGAGTGTGAATCTTTTTGTCACCTGTACCGTCAACATAACACTCTTCAAATCATCAGTCAAACTCTCCGTGCCTCTACTTTCTCAAGTGTAAACTGGGGGCAATTATTATTTGCAGGGTCAGGAGTTAATACACATATGCCACCATCTGAAGCAATGCCTGGCTCCTGCTGAGAACTGAGTACAAGCATATTGGGCCATTGTGTATTTTTCTTTTGGGGAAATATGGAGACAAGATAACTTTCTAAAGAAAAGAAAATTGTAAAATGAATAGAAAATTTCTTAATAATTAAAAAGAAGAACAACAAAAAAAAAGAACAGAAAGTTTGTTTAGTTCACAGTTCTGATGGGTCTAGTGCCTGCATTATGTTCTTCCCTAGATGCTTTCATTTGCTCTCATGGCTCGAAACATGTATGTGTTAGTGCCAGTGATTTGTGTATATGTAACCATGGGGTCCAGGATAAGGTAGAAGCCATATGTATTCCTGCATCACTCAGAGACACCCCAACCTTAATACAGTAAAAACTTACTTGACTCCCTTCTGCACACCCTTCCACTCTGACCTTCCTGCTAGTCTTCCAACAGCCTCCTCTGACCATGTTTTCTGCAAATGTATACCATGGTTGACTTTTTTTTTTAAATTCAGACTTTGGCTAACTGATGGATCAACAGGACTGCCTTTCTCAAGCTAAAGCTGCTGCCTCTCATTCATGTTTTCCGTTTTCATGCCCACTAACTGAATATCGCATGGCCTTATCTGACGTTAGAGTGTGAATCTACCTGAACATGTAGTTACCGATTTCTCTGAATACAGCTTCTATGAGACTGTTAATGAACTTGCCTGTCTTTTATGTTTCAACATTCCAGCACTGTGACAGTTAATATTGGTTGTCAAGTTAATAGGATCTAGAATCCTTTAGGAGACAAACCTCTGGGTGTGCCTATGGGAGACTTTCTAGAAGACTCAGTCTGGTTAGAACCATCCCATGGCTTGGAGTCCTGGATTGAAACAGAAAGGTAAAGCGGGCTGACCCCCATGGCATCAACTCCCTCTGCTTCTTGACTACAAGGGCTGTGTGATCAGCTGCCTCAAGTTCTTGCCACACCGTCCTGCCATGGTGGGATGCGTCTTCAAATTGTGAGCCAAAGATAAACCTTGTCTTTCTTAATTTACTATTTTTTTCAGGTACTTTGTCACAACAATAAGAAGCACAACTAATGGGGACACTTAGGACAGTTACTGACTTGTGGGAGATGCTTGATACAGGATGTTAAATGAAGGAGTGAGTGTGGACTGCACTGTGAGCATGCTCCTTCCGGGGTACACAGAAGTGCAGTGTACAGTTTCAGACACATGCAGATTCATAGTTTAATTGTAGAGAAAAGGAAGAGGGTGAGAAATTAAATGGCAGGGCTGGAGATGGAACCCAGGACCCTACACATTCTGGACAAGCACTCTACCCCTGAGCTACATCAGTCCTAGCTCAGATTACAAAATGTGAGGTGTTGCACTTATACAGTCTGTAACCAGAGCTGAAAAATACCATGAATATGAATCTTAAGAAAATGTAGAGATTTGACCTGTGGCTATAGATGGAGAAAAACAGAAAGAACATTGGGCTGTCATGAGAAAAGCCTAAGAAAAACTCTGGTTTCATGATTAACTGTCAGAGAAACTTTATTGTGGGCTCTGACTCTTCACAGTACATCCACGGCAGGGAGTCGAGTTGGCAGAAAAAGAACTGTCAAAACATTACATGCTCAACTTGGAAGAGGAATTTCAATAGATTCATTTATCCCAAGTGTTCTCTGTGGAATGGTGATTTCAAGGGATGATCATAAATATTATGAGAAGAAAGAATTCCTTTGTCAAGGATTTTGAAAAGTTTGGGCTAAAGCAGATTAATAGTTTTCTTTACTGCAAGATATTTCAGAGTCTTTAATGTGCTAATGCTTCTTGGGACTCTCCAGGAGAGGAATAAAATGCATCACAGTTTCCTAGCTTAATTGACCATAGTTTTTTTTTTTTTGTTTTTTTGTTTTTTTTTTTAACTCACAGAGCATTCCCTGCGCAAATATACT